GACAGAAAGATCGAGTTCCCACTTCCTGATCGGTCTGTCCTCGTTTTTTGGTTGTTTAGCAATATTTTTCAGAGAATTATAAGCCGTGACTTATGCTTTAGGCGACAAAAACGTCTCGTCTTCACCACAATCACATCGAAAATGAACCTGTCAGATGACGTCGATCTTGAGGACTACGTTGCCCGACCGGATAAGATATCTGGTGCTGATATCAATGCTATCTGCCAAGAGGTTCGTAAGATAAACTTCTAAACTGTAGTTTATTGTGAATGAGTTTTTTCTTCCAGGCTGGCATGCATGCGGTTAGAGAGAATCGCTACGTGGTACTGACGAAAGACTTCGAAAAGGCATACAAAAACGTAATCAAGAAGGATCAAAATGATTTTGAATTCTATAAGTAACTGGCACACTGATGACTTCATCTTCAACCCTAATGTCAATCTGTGGTCTCTTTAACTATGTTAATTTGAGATTGAGCTGTACTGGAAATATGTCACACCCAATAAACTATTTAATTTACTATGGTTTTGTCTTTCTGTAATGGTGCAACGAAATTTATATAATCACATCTTCTGCAGGGGCCTTGCTTGACTTTTGAAAGTTGAGAGGGATGGGAGTGCCTTAACGTCACTTATTATGGTCTCAGTGACCTCTTGAGTGTCTCCCAAACCGAACAAACGATTTGAGACTTCACCATCATACGTAATCACTCGCGGAATGATGTCGGATGTCGTATGTTTAGAGCGATATGATTTCTCAATCATTTAATGATTTCATTTCATAATTCATAACAGTCACTATTAATCATAGAGGAAATCGACAAGAGTACTCCGTCATAGCTCACACAAAAAAGTAACAATAATAATGAACCAAGAATGTACATTATGGAAAGAAAAGAAATTATACGCTCTGCCGTAACTGATTACGCAACTCAATCACTTTCTCCCTATCACCTGGAGGTAGCATGGCTATTTCAGCTTCCGTGAGTCTCATGACTTGCACCAACAACTCCGCATTATGTTGCTCATCTGGAGTGATTTCTGGCTGAGGAGCTGGCTGAAAAAGCTGTTTTGAAATACAAGTTTTTCTTGCGACTTTTCTCTGACTGACGAAGAAAAGTTGGTCCCCTCAGCTATTCCAACTTCCTAGGAGCACCCATTATATTAGAGAAACACTTATTAATTAATAGTAATCATTCAGCTAGAGTAGGAGAGGGTTGATAGAAATTTTCTGTTCCCATATCACATCACGAGTGACGAAGTGTAAGGAGAACTTGTTCGAAAAAGATGACAAGGCGTTCCTTCGAACAAGAAAACGTCTTCAAGTAATCATTCATTTGGGAAGTTGGTAAGAAAGGGGTTTTACGAATAAAAGACCAACCTTGTCTCACCCACCCCTGTAACCATATGACATAGAACTCGAATATTTACATTTTCTATTCATTTTATAAACCTGAGATTACAGTATAAAAAGCTTGACTGTACCTGTGGTGGTACAGGACGTGCGTACATCTGTTGAGGTGGAGCTCCATAGGCAGGTTGGGAGACGGCAGGCATAGGGGCCATAGCTAAATGAAAAAAGAAACTTCAAAGGAAACTATCTGCGTCAATATTTCATTAGAAACAGACCTACTGGTCGGACAGTCTTTCTAAACCACCTATCGTTTACAGAATAAAATTTACTGTCACTCTTACTACTATTACAACACAAAAAGTTTCGGTTTGACAGAGTGAAGATGCTACCGAGTGAATGATTTCAAAACAATATGAAATTGGTCATTTCAGTGCATAATTTGGCATAAAGTTAAGTCAGATAAGTTGCATAGACAAGCATTTCCGGGGCTTTTTAAACAAATGTTCATGTGTTGGATCAGTAGTCTACATTGCCCCAAATGGGTTTTCTTTTTCAGAGTTAGAACAAGTCAATAGAGTTTTCCAAGAGGCTACTGATTGCCCACTGCTACAAGATACTGCACTACCTGATACAAAATACTGCACCACGTAATATGAGTTTAACTGGAGAGAGGTTGCTTTGCTACTGTCTTAGAATCAAGGGATTATGCTACTGCTTTAGAAAGAAGGATTAGCACTCGGAGGTTCTCCAAGAATGTTAAACCAAGAGCAGACGGTTTTTCAAGAAGATGAACAGAACTTACGTTGCGCTGGAAATGGAACTTGGTGGAAAGGCACAGTAGAAGCGGCAGGTTCTCTATGAAGCATGGCGATGGCCACTTGCGGGTCGACTATGCGCATAACCACTTGCGCCTGGAAAGCAATCAAAAATATTGATGATGTTAGAAGCGTTTTGTAATCAAAAATCAATGAGGGGAAAAAGAAAACCTGAAGAAGCGCATAAGCAAGCTGTGGATTTTGTACGAGCATCTGTTTTGCCTCACTAGGATTCGAACGAACGACATCCTTCATCTGTTTCATCAGTTCGAACATTTTCTCAGGTGGGAGCGAAGCAACTGTGCGAGAAATCGCCTAAACATAATCTCTTCCTTGAATAATGAGAATAGGAAGTTTAGGAGGCCAAGGTTTTTTTGGGGAAAATGTACCTCGGGAGCACGGCCTTCTTCAGGCTCCGGTCCATATGGACTTTCTTCGACCTGGGCCGCGCTTAACGCGGCCTGCAGCTGTTGAATTTCATCAGCACTCCGATCCCCTCCTGCAGCACTGTCCACCCGAAGTTGACGACCGTTAACCTCATATCTTAAGTATCACGCATTTAATTCAGTAAAACTTAAGGAACGGTGGCCTAACGAACATGCTACTATAGCTTGCTAAGACTAAAAAGCTTTTTAAAAAAACACATAGATTGATCTCAGCGGGAATTCGAGTTGAAGCATCTCCACGATGAAATAAATGAAAAGCTTACCCGTTCAAATTCCTGATCGCAAGCTCAGCAGTCTGCACGTCAAGGAACTCGATGAAGCCATAGCCTTTGGGCTTGCCAGTTTCACGGTCATGGACCATTTTGATATGGACAACATGCCCGACCTACAAATCTTCTCAATGCCATCTGATATTAGACCAAAAAGAAAAAAATCTATCTTCTCTTCCTCACTTTGGAAAAGATCTGCCGGATTGTGTCCTCTGGCACCTCATACGAGATGTTTCCCACTAAAAAAGGCTACGTTAGGTAACGACCAAATAATATCGGAAGATATCCCTCACCGAAAACTGAACGCTGTGATCTGTCCACTTGCATGGTTCGTCTTTCTCCAGGAGCCCAACTGTCGCCTGAGTTTAATTGCTTAAAAAACGTGCTGCTCATGATTGAATCCGATAGAACGCTACGTAGAGTTGGAACTCAGAAGAAATGACACGAAACCAAGAAAAAAAAACTGAGTGATAAGCCAACCAAAGCTGATAACAAAATTCACTTGCTAAGGTGCCGCTTCACTAGTTTAGGCGTCAATTTGGCTGCAATTGAGGCATCACACCAAGCGTTGTAACTGACGACACAAACTTGGTCCTTCAAAGGTGCACTTCTTAAAGAAGCCTACAGTTTTTGGAATGCCCCTAAAATGGATTTCTAGAATAGTCAAAAAAAGAGAGCAGAATACTGCGAGAAGGGTATTTCATTCTTCCTTTGCGGAGTCTCTCCATAATATAAACTCCCCATAACATAGCCTGGAAGAGTCTTTAGGCTATGTTATGGGAAGCTTGTGATTCTGAAGATTGTTACTGCAATATTCCAAGCAAAGTCTTCAATATTGTCGAGTCGTAGCTGATACATCACCCCAATGCCTCGTTTTATCTCCTTAAATCGGAGACGAAGTGCCGGGAAGTGGCGCCACTCCTACAATGGTGGTCATGCACCGTTGCCGACGTCGGCCCATACCACACAAGCCTTCCATCATCATCGGTCAATCGAATGGTACCAATCTCGTGTGGGGGGATAAAAACACTGTTCCCCACTCCGACTAGCCCCACAGGTCGTTACATAGACCATTCCAAAGTTCAAACGATTCTGAGTGGATGTCAAATGCGGGGTTCAAAATGGACTTTATTCCCTGAAGCAGTGGTGTTGCTAGAACAACTTCGCTAAGCTTCAGTTTAACAATTATTTTTCCAAACCACCTTCAGTACTTTACTAGTTGGTGTAGTTGGGGAAAGGAAAGGGTGGGGGGGGGGGGNGGGGGGGTAGTCTGGGTAGGCACCGCTCTTTTCTATTTAGCGGCGTTACCGAGCCTTAGAGCGTATAGAAGGATAGGTAACTGTCTCACCTGTGCTTAGAGAAGGTTCTTGACCAAAGGAATATAGTTTTTACATAAGCCTCAGTAGGGGAGCAGCATTGGGGTGGGTGGGCAACTTCCTCGTGAAAAAAGTTGAGGCCAAGTCATTCAATTGACCTTTCCTTGTGTGGCTTAATTTGGAAATTATATTTCTCGGCCGGGAAACGTTCCCAAGCACCATTATGGGCTTGTAATGTCGGCTACGCTTCCTCCTCTGCGCTCTAGTGTTCAGTGTGGGAAGCTAACCTAAATGTGGAACCCGCTACCCACTTGTCAATCACATTTCTATCCTAATGTCACCAAATGCGCTTGATGAAGGGTGTGGGCTCTTGAACACGAATCGCGCTCTCCTTACCCTGGGAGAACGTCCGTTGCGCGCGTCCGTTGAAAGTAGGTCACCCCGCCCACTCCGCACGCGGCGCATCCCACAGAGGTCTCGAGACATTACAGTACCACCAAGTGTCAGTGGAGCGAATGATTTCCATTTGTCCGTGTTATATTCTCTTTGAGTTGAATGCCGTGGACCAAGCGCAAATCGTATGCCCCACTGACAACTGCGACATCTGTCAAGTATTGCGTGCTGACCTGCCGCGTGCGGTGGCTGCGGTATGACCTTGTTTTGACGGAAGAACGAAGCGCACCCCTTACCCTGTCGCACGATGTGAAGGGGAATATTTGAATCTACGGGAGGATTACGGTGCTCTCTGGTAAACCACTGTAGCTTGCGATGAGGATTCGGGTACAAGAGTTGCTTACATCGCACTTCTTACTGGTAATGGCTAAAGTGAAGGCTTTCACTCGCATAAGATTCCCTTCTTAGATCAGAGTCCCCTTCTTAGGCCCTAAAATCCACAGCAAATCTTTGCAATGAGTGAATATGGCAGACAATTCAATGGGCAGGATTGAACAACGTCTGTGCGTCATAAATCTTCGCCTACGTCAGATGGGAAATTTTTCATGAAATCTAAGAATATCTGTGAGATGTGACTTCATTAGGAAAAGAGGGAGGATGAGATCGTGGCTAAGCTGTAGTCAGTAAGCTCTTGATGTGCTTGGGGATGAGCGTCTTAGACCAACATTCTCATCTCGTTTCCATGGGTGTCTGCATGGTGAGAGTTTATTCCTGGAATTGATTGTTTATTAAAAAGTTCATTTTGGAAAATAATTAGTTTTCTCTATCACATTCTAAATACCACTGCTATAATAATTTATCATTTACTATCGTTCATTATCATTAGTTATACTAATATTGCTATTTTTACTAGCGTAATTATGAATAGAAATTATTATTATTATTCTTATTATTATCAACGGTATTTAATGAAAATATGTAAGTAGAAATACATGCGCAACGTTATAATGATAATAAATAATAAATAGCGCTGATAGTAATGAAAATTTCTTTTTATTACTAGGCTAGTGGGAATTAAATCGATAGTGTAACTGATAATAATAAGTGATAGCAAATGATAAATACTTTTAGCAATAGTAGTTATATTAGTTATAATAAGAAACGGTGTAAAGGCGCTAGTAACGCTAATAATATTAGACAGTAACAATCATAATAATACTTAGTAAAAATGACAATGCAAATTAGTGAACCTAATAATAAAAGTAAAAATAAAAATAAAAGTAGTAATAATAATATTAATAATGACATTATTGTTATCATTATCATTAAATGTGCCTATTTAGTGCCTTCCGATAATTGTTCCTGAAAAGCACGGATCCACTGAGTTTAAAATTTTCGAAAAATTGCATGGCCGGAATTTGATCTGTTCATTAGGTGTACGGTAATAGCGCCCCTTGGCCCTATTTTATCGCCGCCCAACTACTATAACTATCTTAAGCAATTAACCTTAAAATTATTAATAAACATTAGACTTCTTTAGAGCTGTGAAAAGGGGCAAACCAGGGAACAGAATTTTACATGTCCGCTTCTTTTATAATGACTTTTTCAGAGCCACGAACAAGAGTTCCGGCAAATGGCGATGAACATGCATCCCACGTATGAGAAAGCTGAACAGCGTGAAGTAAAGAATAAGACTGCACCAGAACATATTATGTACAACTATGAAAATGTAAGCATTCTTAACGTTTATGTAAGCAGTCCTCAACGTCTTTGTACTTAATTACTTTAAAGTAATATTTTCAGACTAAACAGGTTCAAGAAAAGTATGCTGTAGTCAATTGTCCCCACTCTGTCGGTTTTCATGCAGATCGTCTCGCTATTGTTGACCTCGAAGAAGGCAGTAAGACGTACTGCAATGTACGAACATTCTTTCTGCACAAGTCAAACTTTCGCTTCAATATACAGTTTTTCGTTTACCTTCCCTTTCGGGGTTTGCACGAACCAGGGCGGTGCTTGAGATAAGGTTTATGTAAGGTTGCTAAATAGTTTTCTCCGGACAAAGAAGTTGCGGCGATTTTTTATTCCGAGGGTTTCCCAGTATAAATTGAATAGAATATCAAAAAGTGGGCGCTAATTCGGTGAAAAACCCTTAGTAAGAGACAAAAAATGAAAAATAATGGGTAGGGGGTAAAAAGGAGGTCCTCGAGAAAGAATAAAGTGAGTTTAGTGAAATTGCTACATTTTCTGGGACATGTTCCTTAGCCTTCAAATGCCAGAAGAAGGGATTAAGAGTGGAGCCTTTTGCCCTCAGTCAAACTCGTTTTGGGGCTGCGCCCTGCACTCGAACTTCCTTCCGAAACCTCCAGACATGAAATCGCAGTTAAGCTATTTGCGAATATGGAAATTGCTGGGAATTCTCCTGACAGGAAGGCACTTTTTGCCTTCAACTCACCTGCCAAGCTTAGGTTTAGGTTAGAACACCTTAATATGACTCTGGAATCCAGTAGGGCGTTGAATTCGCAACTAATCCCGCAGTCGTTATTAAAGCGCTTGGTCTTTCTTCATTCGTTGTACATTTTGTTCAGGTAATTTCTGTGTTGACGTTTCCTGATGTTGGCGATGAGCCAGGACGAATGAATTGGACCAGGTCTGCTCCCAATCTTCAGGCAGTACCTAACGTCAGTAAGCCTCTGTTTTTTCTTGGGTCAGAAATTCTTTTGCATAGGGATTCCAAGGACGGTAAAGCTTTCCAGGTGGTTCGAAACCATATGGTTGTACCTTGTATGAACAGCGATCGGATCTACATTGTGGAAATAGAAGAGGAAGGAATGAAAATCGTAAAAGTCAGATTGCAGACTGAATAATTGACAGTTCAACGAATCTTTCGTCTTATTTCAGACAATCAATCCGGAGCTTTTGAAATACTACGATATGTCATGTCCATATGCTGTTCATGTGCTGCCGCTCAAAGGTGCACCAGTTCACATTGCAACTTTGGGAGACAATTATGGCCATGGAAAAGGTTTGTATTTATATTGGAAATCTTCCAAGATTAATTGATCACTCTTCCCACTTACTTGTAGCTTTGGACCATACTTTAGATGTATTCTTCTGACAATAAGGTATCGTCACCTACAGAGCAAATAATGGACTAGTTGCCACCAGAGTCGGAAATTACGAAAAAGGATCCCAGATTAATTATTTGGGTAGATGGGGTCATACCGGAGGTATGAGCAGATAATCGTAAAGGATAATCTCTGATGATAAGTATGCCTACAACATCAAATTGGAGTAGATTTTTTTCTAAAATTCGAATAGTCACA